GGGGGGGGGGGGGGGGGGGGGTCCGGTAGTAATAAGGCTCAGATGGAGCAATACATTAGGGCTAATGCTAGGGGAACACCAAGGTGTGCCTCTTGTACACCACCAGTCTCCCACCACGCATTTCTTATCCACTTCTCACTATTCTTATCCACACCAAGGAGTGTGTGGTGGGGAGACTGGTAGTGTACAAATGGGGTACAAAAGTGTACCCCTAGCATTTTTCGTTAATTTACAGCATGTTTTGCTCTTTGTTGCTCTGTTGGTGCACTAATTGTCTGGATTCCTGACTGCTGCAGAATGCTTGGTCAGGTGGATATATTGCAGGAACAAGCATAGGAAACCAATCTATTGTCGGCATAGAAGGAAATAGTGTGTGAAAGTGTAAGCCATGACAACTGACAAGGGCTAAAGACATTTAGTGTCACTATGGCAGGATGCAGACTGATCTGTTAGGTCATTGGCTTTCATGTGTGCAAAGGTTTTATTTCCCTCTTGCTCCTAGGATTTGTCTTAGCTTGTCACTCATAACCTTATGCTTGCTTGTTAGAATTTGCAAATTGTCAGTTAAGACTAATGCACTGGAGTGCACTTATTGATGCACAAAGATGGAGATAGTTACTTGCTAAAGTAATGGTTCTTTTAACTCTTTTCATCTTGTGGTACATACTTAGAGGTGTTTGGTTCACGCCCGTCGTGCTAGGCATTATCCCGGTCTCACTCCCTATCCTTGGGGGTGCAATCATATGCGCCGAGCCCAACTAACTTTTGTTGCACCGAGCCCATATACTTCAAGCCAATACCTCGGTCGTGGTCCAAGTCCATGCACGAAACATACTGGGGATGTTTCCAAGTTGTCCATCATAGTAATATATTTTTAGCAGCGCCAATGTGTTATGTGATTACTACATTCGTGTATTTGTCTAGTTTGACTTTTTCGAGTCAAACTAGACAAATTTTAAGCTTCAATTACTCTCAATTTGTATTGGATATTAGTATAATGAAATACCATCTTGAAATTCTTAATAAGAAAAATCTAATTAAATCATTTTTATACTAAAATACATTACCCTTTGAGAATAATTAAAGATCAAAATTCATCTTCTGAAAAAGTCAAACTGGACAAATATACTGAAACGGAAGAAGTATTTGTCAATTCAATAAATCTCTTCATAAATAACTACTCCGTATTTGGAGAATAAAGTTCATTTGACGCAAGCATGGAAAGTCGGCTTGATTC